CTGGTCTAGCATTAAATGGGGAGGTTGGTGGCCCTGCATGTGGCAGGGGGGTTGGAGCTTCATGATCCTTGGGGTCCCTTCCAACCCTGGCCCTTCTGTGATTCTGTGAAGAGAAGGGGACATGGGGACACTGGGGACGTGGGGACATTGATGGGGAGAGGGGTGTGGGGACACTGGGACAGTGCTGGAGGAAGAAGGGCATGAGGACGTGGAGACACTGCCAGAGACATGGGGACACTGCTGGAGAGACAGGGGCATGGGGAAGAGTGCTGGGGAGGGAGGAGGGTGGGGACGCTGGGGGCACTGATGGAGAGTGGGGGACATGGAGACATGGGGACATTGATGGGGAGAGCAGGATGTGGGGACACAGGGAGCACTGGGGACATGGGGACATGGGGACACTGCTAGAGAAAGAGGAACATGGGGACATGGGAACACTGGGGATAGATGGGCGTGGGGACATTGGGAACACTGGAGTTAGTGGGACATGAGGACACTGGAGGCACTAGGGGTGCAGGGGACACTGGGGATAGTGGGACATGGGGATGTGGGGACAGGGGGACATGAGACACTGGGGACAGTGAGGATTCCAAGGATATAGGGACATGGGAACACTGGGGACAGGATGCTGGGGACAATTGGGATGCCGGGGATATGGGGACATGGGGACACTGGGGATAGAGAGACATGGGGACATGAGGACATCAGCACATGGGGACACTGGGTGCACTGGGGATACTGGGAAGAGAGGGACATGGGGACACTTGGGACAGGATGCTGGGGACAACTGGGATGCCAGGGATACTGGAACACTGGGGACAATGAGAATGCCAGGGATATAGGGACACAGGGATGCCAGGTCAGGCCCCAAGAAGTGTCCCCATGTGCCAGTGCCCCCATGTCACACTGTCTCCATGTCATGCTGTTCCCCCCCCACAGGATGCAGTGGCCACACAGATGGAGGAGGCGCGCCTGGTGAAGATCAAGGAGGTGCTGAAGGAGCTGCCCCCCCCCCACTATAGGTATGCAGTGGGGTCAGCCCACCAGCCCCGGGACCCCATAGGAGACCCCAATGTCTGATGGGGATCCTTGGCAACCTAGAGCATCACCAGCAGGATATGAGGGTCCCTTCCACCCCAATAGAGTCCTCAGAATATTATGGTGGTCCCAGGCACCCTAAGGGGTTTCTGGCACCTCCTGGGGGTCCTGGCATACGTAGGGATCCCTGTGTCTCTATGGGGTTTCTGATATTCTATATATGGGGTTTCTGGCATCCATAGGGATCCCTGTGTCTCTATGGGGTTTCTGATATTCTAACATGTTATGGGGGTCCTTTGCACCCCAATAGGGCCCCCATGATGTTATGGGGGTCCCTGGCACCCTATTGGGTTCTTGGTACCCCATAAGAGTCTTTGACATGTTATAGGGGTCCCTGGCACTCTATGGGGTTTCTGGCACCTCCTGGGGTTCCTGGCATCCATTGGGGTCCCTATGTCTCTGTAGGATTTCTGTTACCCCATAAGAGTCTCTCATATGTTATGGGAGTCCCCTGCATCCCAACAGGGCCCCCACAATGTTGGGGAACACCCTATGGTTTTTCTGGCACCTCCTCAGGGTCACTGACATATTATGGGGTTCCAGGCCCCATATGGGGTTCCTGTCACTCCATGGGCTGCCTAGTACCCCATAGAGGAACCTGACATCCCAATAGGGATTTCAGAAGGTTATGGGGGTCCCCAGCACCCTGTGGGGTTTGTGACACCTCCTGGCTTGACCCCTCCTCTTATGGGTGTTACCCCATAAGACCCTCTGACACATTATGGAGGTCCCTTGCACCCTAGTAGGGCCCCCACCATTTTACGGAGTTCATGCCACCCTATGAGGTTTCTGGACCTGCCTGAGTGTCCTCGACACATTGTAGGGTTCCCATCCCCCTATGGGTATCACGTCACCCCATAGGGGGACACCACTCGTCCCCATGTCCCCATGAGGCCCTATTCCTGCAGGACACTGGAGTTCCTGATGCGGCACCTCCTGCGCATGGCATCCTACAGCCACACCACCAACATGCACGCCCGGAACCTGGCCATCGTCTGGGCCCCCAATCTGCTGCGGTGAGCACGGGGAGATGTGGGGCAGGGGGTGATGAACTCACAGGGCAGAGAGGGACGTCACGGTGTCCCATCCCCTCCCTGCTGCAGCTCGAGGGACATCGAGGCGACGGGCTTCAATGGGACGGCCGCGTTCATGGAGGTGCGGGTGCAGTCCATCGTGGTGGAGTTCATCCTCACCCACGTGGAGCAGCTCTTTGGGGATGCACCTCTCTGTGGTATGGCCCCATGGGGATGGGGGGGACACATGGCCCTGTGACCCCTCCTGAATCCTGACCCTCTGACCTCTTATGTCAGGTCCCTGTGACCCCTCCTGACCCTTGACCCCACTGCCCCCTCAGCGGTATGTCCCCACTGGGATGGGGGTGACACATGTTCCCATGACCCCTCCTGACCTCTGACCCCTTATGCTGGCTGCCTGTGACCTCTCCTGACCCGTGAACCTCTGACCCCTCAGCAGTATGTTCCCACTGGGATGGGGGTGATGTATGTTCCCATGACCCCTCCTGACCCCTGGCCCCTCATGTCAGGTTCCTGTGACCTCTCCTGACCCCAGACCCCTCTGCAGCATGTCCCCACTGGGACAAGGGTGACACATGTCCCCATGATCCCTCTTGACCCCACTGACCCCTCCATGGTATGTCCCCACTGGGGTGGGGATGACATTTGTCCCTGTGACCCCTCCTGACCCCTGACTTCACTGTCCCCACCACAGTGTGATCCCAGAGGGACAGGGGTGAAATATGGCTCACAGGCCCCTCCTAACCCCTAACCCCACTGGCCCACTGACCCTTCAGGCTGGGTCCCTGTGCCCCCCCTGACCCCTGACCCCCCACCCCTCTGCAGGCGGTGAGGCGGCACGGCGCTCCCGGTTGTTCCCTGGGGACGGGTCAGGGCCCTACAACGTCCCTGCAGCACTCAGCCAGGGCGATGGGCCCCCCCCGATCCGGCCCTACCACACCATCATTGAGCTCAGCGACCACAGGTGGGTGCAGACATGCACACAAAGTGTGCACAAGCATGCAGGATCACATATGCACAAGCATGCACAAGCGTGCAAAATCGTGCACACACATGCACAGACACACACACACATGCAGAATCATGGACATGCATGCACAAGTGTGTCAGACATGCAGAATCATGCATGCACGAGCAGGCAGAATGATGGACATGCAAGCATGCAGAATCATGCACAGACATGCACAAGCATGCACATCCACACAGAATATTGTCTGCACAAGTAGGTAGAGTGACGCACGTAGAAGCAGGAGCACACACAAGCAAGCACATAGATACACAAGCGTGCAAAGCACACACATGGATGCACAGGTGTGTACACGGATGCACAAGCATGCACTCAGACACTGTCCCCACAGGAGGAAGGGGTCCCTGAAGGCCAAGAAATGGAAATCCATCTTCCACCTGGGCCGCTCCGATGCCAAGCGCAAGCTGGGGAAGGCAGAGGAGAAAGGTGGGAGCACCACACCCCCTGCCCTCTTTTTCCCCCCCACCCTCCGCCCCACACATATCCCCATCCCCTCTCTTGTGTCCCCCCTCCACAGAGGAGAAGTGTGGGAAGCTAAGCCTGCGCCCAGCCAAGAGCATGGACTCCCTGAGCTCGGTGCCATACAGCAGTGAGGGTGAGGGGTGGTGGGAGGGGGCATCGTGTCCCTGGGCATGAGGGCATGGGGACATGGAGCACAGCAATGGGGGTCCGGGGGGGATGGGTTGGGATGGGATGGGGATGGGAATGAGACTGGGATTGGGATTAGGACTGAGGTGGGAATGGGAATGAGATTGGGTTGCGGATTGGGATTAGGAATGGGGTGGGGTAGGGATGAAGATGGGAATGAGATTGGGATTGAGAGTGGGGATGGGGATGGAGAAGGGATGGGATGGCTTGGGGGATGGGATGGGATTGGGATTTGGGTTTGGATGGGAATGAGACTGGGTTTGGGATGGCAATGGGATGAGACTGGAGATGGAATGAGGTGAGAATGGGGATAAAATAGGGATGAGATGAGGATGGAGGTGGTATAGGGATGGGGATAGGGATGGAATGGGATGAGTATGGGATGGGATTAGATAAAGAATGGGATGAGGGTGGGAATGGGAAAAGGTTGAGGTGGGGATGGAATGGGAATGGGGTGGGAGTGGCTTGCAATTGGGGTGGAGACAGGGATGGAGATGGGGATGGGGATGGGATGGGATGGGATGGAGATGGAGAGCATGCAGATGAGGAAGGGATGAGGATGGGATATTCCCCAGCAGACGATGCCCGGCTCAGCACCACATGTGTGATGAAGCAACCGCCGCAGCGCCGGGAGAGCTTTGACACCTGCTCCTCACTGCCACACACCGGGACCTTTCCAGTGCTGGAGGAGAGCCCCGAGGAGAAGCTGACGGCAACAGAGGAACCACGGGGACCTGAGTCGGAGAGCGAGAGCAGCACCAAGTCAGAGCCCACCACCCCCCGGCCGGGCCGCACAGCGGTGGTGGGGGCCCGCAGCCGGGCTGAGAAGTGCGCAGGGGTCCACATTTCAGGTCCCTTCTCTGTCACCGTCCCTTTGCACATCACCTCCAACCTCTCCCGGCTGACACGAGGACAGCAGTGCCCGGCACTGGCTCAGCATGGAGCCACTGGATCCCCACTGCCCACCCGTCGCCTCACCAAGGAGCCCAAACCCCCCCAAAACAACACGGGTGAGATGAGGGGACACAGACCCCAAAGTGTGGGGAGGGCCAGAGGGGTCATCACCTCACCCCACTGTGCCTTCATAGAGGAGGATGCCCGGCTGTCCCTGGAGCTGCGTGACTCCTTCGCCTTCCTGGACTGCCAGGACGCGTGGCTGGAGCACGGAGATGGGGACACAGCAGCGCGGACAGTGCTGGGACATGGTGGCCTTGGGGACAGCGATGGGTACCCGGCCATAGAGGAGGGCATGGAGAGTGGATTCATGAACGTAAGCTGGAGTGTGGGGTTGGTACCTGGGGAGGGGATAGGATCAGTGATGGAGAGGGCAATAATGGCGATGGAGGGTATGGGATCAGTGATGTAGAGAATGGGGTGGTGATGGAGAGGGTGAGAATAGGGATGGAAGGGTTGGGGTGCTGCGGATGGAGGGGATGGAGTTGGGGCAGAGAGGATGAGGTGGGGATGGAAGGAATGGAGAGGGTAGGGTGGGGGTGGAGGGGGTGGGATGATGATGAAGAGAATGGGGTGGGGACAGAGTAGAGGAGTTGTGATGGAGAGAGCAGGGTGGCACCAACCCACGTGTCCACAGTTCTGGGTCTGGAGGCTGTGCACTGTGACACCTCCATTGTCCAGTGGAGGTCAGGGCTCTCTATTGAGGCCATCACCCCCATCCCCTCCTGTCCCCAGCCGGGGGAGTCCCCCGTGGAGCAGCCTGACAGCTACCTGTCCATTGAGGAGTGCATGGACGAGGAGATGTTCTACATGGCACCCAGCTGCTCTGACACCGAGGAGCCCACCGGGGACACTGACTCCGATGACATGTTCCTCAGCGCCCATGATGAGCTCAGCCCATTGGCAGCTGACCCTGAGACCCCCACCAACATGTCCCTGGAGGAAAGTGGGGCTGAGCTGCGGGATGGGTCCCCACCACCAGAGCCATGTCCTGCAGAGGAGGTGGCTCTGGGTGATGGGGGACACTTGGAGGACCCTCGTGGGGACACAGCGGAGGAGGGGGGACAGATCTCAGTAAAAGAGAGGGATGGAGGTGACAGGGAGGGGAACAACGGATGGAGCAGAACTGAGCTGGGGCTTGAGGATGGAGCAGCAGAAGCAGTGCTGGCTCCAGGTGGGGAAGAGGAGATGGATGGAGCATCAAAGCAGAGTGAGGAGGGGGACCCCCAACCTTTAGAGGGGTCTCCAGTGCCAGAAGTACCACTCCAGGAGCCCACTGAGACCCCACTCCCTCAGGAGTCTGTCCCCAAGGTTCCTCCAACCCCAGTGGCTGCTGCTGAGGTTTCTCCAACCCCAATGGCAGACCAAGAGGTCCTTCCAACCCCAATGGCTGTCCCTGAGGTTTCTCCAACTCCAATGGCAGTCCAAGAGGTTCCCCCAACCCCAATGGCAATCCAAGAGATTCCCCCAACCCCAATGGCAGTCCAAGGGGTTCCTCCAACTCCAATGGCTGTCCCTGAGGTTTCTCCAACCCCAATGGCAGTCCAAGGGGTTCCTCCAACCCCAATGGCTGTCCCTGAGGTTTCTCCAACCCCAATGGAAGTCCAAGGGGTTCCTACAACCCCAATGGCTGTCCCTGAGGTACCTCTAACCCCAGCGGCCACCACAGAGGGCACAGATCCCCCACCAGAGGCCATCACCCCCACTCCCCAAGGGGCAGCCTCTGACCCCTCTCCCACTCCTTCCCCCTCCCAGAGGCCATGCCAGCAACCCCCCGGTGCCGTCCTGCGCCGTGACGGCAGCGCCCCGGTGCGCCTGGCGTCCCGCGCCGTGCGGGTGCAGCAGGCCCGCTCCGTCCCTGTCGTGCCCCCGAAGCCTCAATTCGCCATCATTCCCCCCACCCTCCAACCCCACCCCCCCCCGGCAGAGGGCCGGAGGGCGAATTGGTGTTATGGTGGCAGCGTCTCCTTCGACACCGCCATGACGGACGCCGCCGCCGAACGGCCATCGGTGCACCGGATTCAGACCTATGGCGGAGGGGAGCTGCCCGCCGCACCCCCCAGCGCCCCCCCACAGCCCCTGCCCTTCCAGAAGGCCCCGATGAGGCCACGGCTGCTGCGGCCCCACAGCTGCATGGCCGCCCCACAGGGCCGCGGGTTGGGCCAAGACAGTGGGACGAGCCCCAAACAGAGAGCTGAGGGCACGGCAGGAGAGCACTGAGTGCTGTGCGGGGACGGGGGGACGCGGGGTGTGGGGTGGGGGTGGGTGCGGGGGCTTTGGGGCGTGGGGCTGAGGATCTGGGTCTCGGTGGCGGATGTTGGCACCACCGCAATAAAGTGTGGTTTCCTGCTGCGGCCTCCTTCACACAACATGGCGGCGCGCCTCAAGGAGGAGGGCAGATGGGGTCTCCCGCGGGGCTCCACCAGCGGGGGTCGCGGGGGCGGGGAGGGGGGCGTGGGGAGGGGGTTCTGGACACCGGAGTGTGGCGACGCGGGGTTGGGGGGTGCGGGGAGGGCAAAGGGGGAGTGCTGCCCGCTTCCAAGATGGCGGCGAGCGGAAGCCCCGCGCTTCGCCGTGTAAGATGGCGCCCCCCCCATGAGATGGCGGCCGGGAGGGTTTCGCGCGCCCAACTCCAAGATGGCGGCGCTCTGCTGCTCTCGCAACGCCACCGCCCCAAGATGGCAGCGCGGGGCGGGGCTTCGCGGCCCACTTCCGCCCGGCTCCGCCATGGCGGCGGCGGCGCGGCGCGGTGCGCATGTGCGGGGCTCCATGGCGAGACGAGGGGCCGAGCGCGCACAGGGTAAGGACGGAGCGGCCCCCGCCCCCCGCGCTGCCCCCCACAGCCGCCCACACCCCCCCGGGGGCCGCCCCTTCTCCTCCCGTCCCTTTCCCCCCCCCCCACAGCGCGGTGTCCCCTCCCCGAGTGCCGTCCCACGGCTGTCACCCCCCGCGGCCTTCACCCCTCCCATTGTCGCCCCCTTTGTGTTCCCCCCCCTCAAATTGTCACCCCCCCTTCGTGTCCCGGGTCACCCCACGCTGTGCCCCCCTCCACCACGTTGTCGCTCCCCCCGCTTTTATGTCTCCCACCCCCAAATTGTCACCCCCCTATGCAGAGGGTGTGGGGGGTAGGGGGGTTCCCTTCGGTTGTGCGATGAGGGCTCTATTTTGGGGTGTGCCCCCCCCCTTAACCCGCCCCCCACCATCCCTCCCCCCCCCCTTGGGGTGACACTTCGGTGGCCTCGGCCTGAAATGACCCAAAATGGGGGGATGGGGGCTGGATATGGAGGGGGAGTGACGCTGAAGCCACGGTTGCCTCCCCGCCCCCTTCCCACCAGTTTGGGGACAACCCTCCCCCCCCCCTCACCACAGGGCCACTCTTCTCCCCTGGGAACACTGCCACCTCCAGGGCCGTCACCCCTGTGGGGACACTTTGGGGGGTGGGGGCGAGGGGTGCTGCCACCCCCCAGTGGGGCACTGCCACCACCCCGAGGGACGCTACCCACCCCCCCTCCCAAGATGCGAAAGTGAAACAGGGGACACCTAAAAAGGGCCCTGGTGACAGATGGGGACACTGCTGCTGTCCCCACGCACACTGGTGGCTGTGTCACCCCTGGCCCCGGTGCCCGTTCTGTGTCACCTCCCCGGCGGCTGTGGTGGTGGGGGTCAGGGTTGGGGGTCAGCGCTGGGAGCGTCTGGTGCTGTGTCCCTGTGTCCCCCCGTCCCCATTTCTCCCCGTCCCCATGTCCCATATCTCCTGTCCCCATATCCCATTATGTCCCAAAAACCTGCATCCCTGTGTTCCCATTTCTTCTGTCCCCACGTCCCCAGTGTTCCTGCCCCACATCCTCTTGCCCCCCATCCCCAAATCCTGTCCTCCCCATATCCTGAACCTCACGTCCCCATATCCCAGATCTCGTGTTCCCATGTTCCCATGTCCTCTCATCCCTTTGTCCCCCATCCCCATATCCTGAACCTCCTGTCCCTATATCCTCACCCCCCATGCCCCAACCCTCATGTCCCCATTCCCTATGTCCTCATATCCTGAACCCCAAACCTCATGTCCCCATACCCATGTCCTGAACCTTGTGATCCCATATCCCAAGTCTCATGTTCCTATACCCCAAATCTCACATTCCCATATCCTCTGTCCCCATGTCCTGAATCCTGTACGCCAAACCTCATGTTCCACACCCCGTGTCCTCAGATCCTGGACTCCATATTCCATACCTCACATCCCCACGTCCTCTGTCCCCATATTCTGTACCCTGTACCTCAGACTTCACGTTCCCATGTCGTCTGTCCCCATATCCTGGACCTCATATCCCAAACCTTGTGTCTCCATGCCCCTGTCCCCTGAATCTGGTATCCTCATGCCTTTTGTCCCTATATCCTGAACACCATACCTTGTGTCCCCATCTCTTCTTTTCCTGTATCCTGAACCTCATGATCCCATATCCCAAATCTCATGTGCCCATACCCCAGACCTCACATCCCCATATCCTGAACTCCAAACCTCATGTCCCCATGTCTCCATACCCCATACCTTGCATTCCCACACCATCTGTCCCCATATCCTGAATCCCATACCCTACCCCAAACCTTGTGTTTCCACACCGCAAACCTCACAACCCTACATCCTCTGTCCCCATCTCCTGGACCCCATACCCCAAACCTCATGTCTCCATGTCCCTGTACCCCAAATCTGGTGTCCTCATGCCCTTTGTCCCTATATCCTGAACCCCATACCCCAAACCTCACATTCCCATGCTCTCTATCCTCATCTTCTGGACCCCATACCCCAAACCTCATGTGGTTTGTCCCCATGTCCCTATCCAGGCTGAGTCCCCACCGGGCTCTGAGTGCTGCAGCACTGTCTGCCACTGCCTCTGATGCACGGCCGAGCGGAGCGATGAAGGGGTGAGTGCCAGCACTGCCTGGGGTCACCCTGTGGGGGGACTGCGGTCACGGGAGGACTGGGTCTGGGTTTGGGGTTGGTCACAGGGCTGTGGTCAGCAGGGCGGCCAGTGTGGGGGGGGGATGGGGGGACATGGGGACGTGGGACACGAGGACAGATCCTCATTGCTCTGCCTCTGTCCCTGCAGACAGCAGAAAGCAGCCGAGACGGAAGAGGGAACGGTGCAAATCCAGGAAGGTGAGGGGTCCCCATCTTTGTCCCAGGTGTTTGTGAGCCCCATCCTCACCCGTTCTGTCCCAAACCCCTTGGTGACACGGAACAACCTGTTAATACCAGCCCATGATCCAGAAGGGGTGGCCTGGTGGGGTGACAGTCGTTCCCTCCCCAGCATGAGGGGTCCTGGTAGGGTGACAGCTGTCCCTTCCCCACTATGGGGGGGTCCTGGTGGGATGATGGCAACCCCCTTCCCACCACGGCCCCATGCTGCCCACCTGTCCCCAAGGTGCAGTGGCCACAGGAGAGGATCCCACCAGTGTCGCCATCGCCAGCATCCAGTCCGCCGCCACCTTCCCTGACCCCAATATCAAATATGTCTTCCGCACAGAGAATGGCGGCACGCAGGTATGGGGTGGGAACGGGGGGGCAAGGAATGTGGGATGTGGGGTGAGGGGATATGGGGGTAAAAGGGACATGGGTTATAGGGGTAGGGGGACATGGGATGTGGGGTCAGGGGAATGTGGGGTCAGGGGATGTGGGATGTAGGGGCAACAGTCAGGGGGACATGAGGACATGGAGACGTGGGGGGCGGGGGGACATGGGAATGTGCGGATATGGGGGTCTGGAGAATGGGGGATCAGGGGACATTGGATATAGGGGCAAGGGACAGGAGGACATGAGGGCAAGGAGATGCAAGATACGGGGGGCAGGTGAACATGGGGATGTGAGATTTGAGGGTCTGGAGAATGTGGGGTTAGGTGGCATGGGATACGGGGAAAAGGAACAGGGGGACATGAGGATGTGCAAACGTGGGATATGGGGAATGGGGGTCTGGGGAATATGGGGTCAAGGTAGATGAGATATAGGGACAAGGGACAGGGAGGCACAGGGACATGGGATATAGGGGGACATGGGGACATGGTATATGGGGGGACAGGGAGACATGAGGATGTGGGGTATGGGGGTGCGGGGATATAGGGGTCGAGGCATGGAGATGTGGGGGGCAAGTATGTCTTCGGCACAGAGAACAGTGGCATACAGGAATGGGATCGGGGGGCACATTGGGGACCCAGCATTGGGGAACCCCTGAGAATGGGGCTTAGACCTGAGGAGTGACACGGATCTCTGCCTGCAGGTGATGTATAGGGTGATCCAAGTGGCGGACGGACAGCTGGACGGACAGACGGAAGGCACCAGCGCCATCAGCGGGTACCCCGCCACACAGTCCATGACACAGGTGGGCACTGGGGGGTGGCACAGGGGAGATGCTGGGGCTGGGGGTCCCGTCCCAATGTGCCACCCGCCGTCGCCGTCCCCTCCAGGCCGTCATCCAGGGTGCCTTCACCAGCGACGATGCGGTGGAGACGGAGGCAACGGCCACTGAGACCCACTACACCTATTTCCCCACCGCGGCCGTGGCCGACACTGGCACGTCTGCCGGCGCCGGGACCACCGCCACCGCCGTTGTCACCACGCAGAACTCGGAGGCGCTGCTGGGGCAGCCCACCCCCACTGGTATGGGGGGGGGTGGGGATGGGGGCAGGAATGGAGGTGAGGACAGGGATGAGGATGGGGAAGGAGGTGAGGGCTGGGATGGGAACGGGGACTGGGATGGGGATGGAGATTGGGACAAGTGTGGATGGGGATGGAGATGGAGGAAGGGATGGAGGTTGGGGTGGGGCAGTAGTGTGGATAGAGATTGGGACACGAGTGGGGATGGGGGACATGGATGGAGATTGGGATGGGGACAGGAGTGGGGATAAAGGGTGAGACAAGAATAGGGACAGGGGTGGAGATGGAGGACAGGGATGGAGATGGAGATTGGAATGGGGACAGGGGTGGGAATAGAGGTTGGGACAGGAATGGGGACAAGGATGGGAATGGGGGAAACGAATGGAGTTGGAGATGGGAATATGGAAAGGGATGGAGATTGGGATGGGGACAGGAATGGGGACAAAGACTGGGAACAAGAGTGGAGATGGAGGACGTGGATGGAGATGGAGATGGATGGGGAAAGGATGGAGATTAGATTGAGGACAAGGGTGGGGATAAAGATTGGGACAAGAATGGGAACAGGAATGGAGATAGAGACGAGGATGGAGATTGGGATGGGGACGGGTGGGATAGTGGTGGGGACAAAGGTGGGGATGGGGGACGGGGATGGAGGTGGAGACAGATGGGGAAAGGGATGGAGATAAAGACTGGGACGAGAGTGGGGATAGGAGTGAAAATAGAGGACATAGATGAAGATGGCGATAGGGATGGGGATGAGGATGGGGATAAAGGTGGAGATGGAGATGGGGACAAGAATGGGGATGGGTGGGGATAGGACAGGGATGAAGGTGAACATGGGGACCTGGGGATGTGGTTGGAGATTGAGGTGGAAACGTGGGGATGTGGATGGAGATGAACATGGAGACATGGATGGGGATAGAGACATGGGGATGTGGTTTGGGATGACAATTGGGGTGGAGATAGGGACAAGGAGATGGGGATGGGATGGGATGGAGATTGGAATGAAGATATGAGAATGAAGATGGGGACAGGGATGGGTGGAGTTAATGGGGGGAATGAGGATGGGGACAGGACAGTGATGGAGGTGGGGAAGGGGCCAGCTGGCACTGCAGGTCCCTGCTGCAGGACTTAGCACTGCACCCCACGCCTGACCCCACTGCTCATTTTGGGTCCGTTCAGGGCAATTCTTCGTGATGATGTCCCCCCAGGAGGTCCTGCAGGGTGGGACGCAGCGCTCCATCGCCCCCCGTGCCCATCCCTACTCCCCGTGAGTACCAGCCTCACTGTGGGGGGCATGCTAGGGGGAGGTGTTTCCATAGGGCGGATTCCATGGGGCATGGTGTGGGGGGCCAGCACTGACCCTGCTGCTCTTCCTGCAGGAAAGCAGAGGCGCCGCGGGCGACCCGGGATGAGAAGCGTCGGGCGCAGCACAACGAAGGTACCGTTGTGGGATCAGTGCCCCCCAGGCAGGCAGGAGGTGGACAGAGACCCCCAAAAGGATCTGTGGGTTTGGGGGGCCTGGCTTTGTCCCCAGTGAGGGCACTGATGTCCCTGTCCCCTCTGCTTGCAGTGGAGCGCCGGCGCCGGGACAAAATCAACAACTGGATCGTGCAGCTCTCCAAGATCATCCCCGACTGCTCCATGGAGAACACCAAGTCGGGGCAGGTATGGGGCGGGGGGGAAACGGGACGGGGGGATGCAGAGGGAGTGTGGGGCTGGGAACGGTCTGTGGGATGGAGAATAGGGTCAAGCATCTATGGGGCCCTGTATCCATTGTGGTTGAGCATTTATAGGATCCCATATTCATTGGGGTCCCTTATCCTTTGGAGTTGAGCATCTGTGGGATCCTATATCAATTGGGCTCCTGTATCACTAGTGTCCAGCATCCATCTGGGGTCCTGCATCCATGAAGCCTCAAATCCATTGGGGTCCCCAATCCATGGGATCCCACTTCACTGGGGTCCCGTGTCCATTAGGGTCTGGTGTCCATTGGGGTCCTGCATCACTGGGATCCCACATCCACAGGATCCTGCATCACTGGGGTACTGCATCTATTTTATCCTATGTTGTTGGGGTCCTGTGTCCATTGGAATCCCCCATCTATGGGGTTATGCATCTAAGGGATCTCATATCCATTGGGGTTGAGCGCTTATGAGATCTCATATCCGTTGGGGTCCTGTATCACCGGTGTCAAGCATCCATTGGGATCCCATATTGCTGGGGTCCAACATCTAGGAGTTCTCAAATCTGTTGGGGTCCCCTATCTATGTGATCCTGTATCATTGGGGTGCTGCATCAATTTCATCCTATGTTGCTGGGGTCTTGTGTCCGTTGGAGTCCTCCACCTATGTGCATTTATGGGATCCCGTATCCATTGGGGTCCTGGGTCATTTGGGGTAGTGCGTTTATGGGATCCTCTATCCATTGGGACCCCATATCATTGGGGTCCCACATACAGGAGGTCTCATCCAATGGGATCCCCAATCCATGGGATCCCGTTTCATTGGGATCCAGGATCTATAGGATCTTGAATCATGGAGATCCCACATCTATGGCATCCTGTGTCAGGGGATACTAACGGGACACAGAATCCCAATATCTATGCAATCTCACATCCATGGGATCACACTTCATTGGCGTCCCCCATCCTTGGGATCCTACTTTATTGGAGTCCTCTATCCATGGGGTCCTGCATCGGGGGTCCCACATCTGTGGCATCCCGTGTCATTGGGGTCCCCCACCCACGGGGCCACACTTGTTTGCCAGATCCATGGGGTGGGGATGCGAGATCTGGGAGTGTGGCGGCTGCCTCCCCTCTCACCTCCTGTCCCTCCCCCAAAACCAATCCCACAGAGCAAAGGGGGAATCCTCTCGAAAGCCTGCGACTACATCCAGGAGCTGCGGCAGAGCAACCACCGCCTCTCTGAGGAGCTGCAGGGCCTGGATCAGCTCCAGATGGACAACGAGGTCTTACGGCAGCAGGTGAGTGCCAGGGGGGTGGGAGGGGGGGGGGGGGGGGGGGGGGGGGGGGGGGGTCTCATGATCAGAATGGGGCCCCACAGCCTCACCCCTGCCCCCCCAACCCCATCAGGTGGAGGAGCTGAAGAGCAAGAACCTGATCCTCCGGACGCAACTCCGCCAGCATGGTGTGGAGATCGTCATCAAGAATGAGAGCCACTGACCCCGGGGACGGGGACCCCCCCGCAGCCCCCAACCCCCCCGCGCCCCCTCCTCATCATCACCCCACCCAGCCCCAGGGTGACGTGAGGAGCCCCCCAGCCCCATTTGGTTTGTGCCCCCACATCCCTGCGCTTCCTGCACACGCTCTCGGCCAGGCGACCCTGCTGCCCCCAGCACTGCCTCGGCCCCCCCCCACTCCCTCCCCAGTCCACCCCTCCGGTGTCACCCCTTTGGGAGTCAAACCCCCCCACCCCTCCCCCAGGATGTCACTCCTCCCTCCATTGTCACCCCCTTTCCCCAGGGTGTCACCCCCCCACATTGTCACCGCCCTCCCTTTCCACAGGGTGTCACCCCCCATTTCCCAGGGTGTCACCCCTCTCCCAGGGGGCAGTGGTGGCTCTTTGTCCCCCACTGGGGTGCAGGGTCCCTCCCCTCTGTCCTCACACCTCTC